CGCCAGGCCCCGCCTCCTCCGCCGGGCCCCGGCCTCCTCCACCACAGTTGCTGGCTGTCACTGACTCTGCAGCGGCTCTGGGGAGCAACGCGCCGCTGCACAGATCACTGACAAGTTGCCAGTGATCTGAACAGCGGTGCATTCCTCCTCAGAGCTGCCAGTGACAGCCAGCAGCCTGCGATGCCATAGCGACCCAGACGGCCCGCACGTCATCAGGGGGACCCCTTTGTTTCTCGTCCTGGCTGTGCCCCGGGCCCCATAGCGGCCGCCTGGGTTGCTATGGCAATAGCTCAGCCACTGACAGAAACCAAAACTGTCAGTTTCTTTAACCACTGCTGTGCTCAGTGGTTTCTGTTGCTGAATTCTACTTTGTCTATGTTGTATAATTTATGTAGCATTTGGGATAAACTGCTGCACACACTGGGAAAATCCATGCTCTTGGAAGTGTCAGTTTTTAAAGAGACTTCAGATACATAATTTCTCTACACTACAGCATTGCAGACAGCGGAAGAGTTAGCAGGGAGATGTTCTATTCAGACCCCTACTTATGCATTTTGTCCCCTATGTGGTCCTAATTGTAGAGCTCTAAAATTAAGCCCCAATTGAAGGCAAAACACATGAGCTGGATGTCCTTGGTTCCTACTGCTGCTGGACTAATAAAGTTTTCAGTTGTACGGATCAGTGGTGTGTAGCTTTGCGTCCTCAGGAGTCATGCTTATCCTAACCTGCTTTTTCACTAGAAAGTTTGAATATATAACTCAGCTCTGGCTTTAGGCTATGTTCACACCATGTCTGGACCAGATCTGGAGCAGATCTGCAAACACAGTACAGTGCGATTTTACTGCGATTTTGAAGCTTTTTTCAATTTGCATGCCTTTGTATGCGTTGTTTAAGCATTTCCATGTGTTCCAGTGCATTCCAGACCAGAGAAAATAAGACAAGCAGTATTTTTTTTTGTCTGGACCAGAATGGACTGTGCTGGTGTGAACAGAGCCCAGAAATGCCATAGGGATACATTGAGATGCTTTTTTGGTCCGGGAACAAACTGTTCTGGTCTGGACATGATCTGGACATGGTGTGAACAAGCCCTTAGTGTAAAGTATTTTTTTTTTTTTTTTTTAGCTCATTATATAACTTTTCATTAGGATCCTCTAAGACAGAAAAGTTTGAGTCAGTCCTATGTTAGCTGTTTGTTTTTGTTAGCTTGTAAAATATTGTTGTATAGCTGTGTAGAAATACACTTATTATATGACACAGCATTCCCAAAGAACTATGGGTTAGCTAAGTAGACAGCACTTTAGACACTTTCTGCTTTTAGTTTCTTAGTCTGGGCTAAACTTTGGACTGAACCATCTAAAAAGGAAGAGCCTTTAAAATGTGAAAAGCTTTATCCGCTTGATTACAAGGAGAATGCATTATTTTATATTTTCTTTTTAAACTTCTACATTTGCATGCTATTAGTCCTAATAGTAATATAGAAAATTATGTATAAACCACTATACATTCCTTTTAAGTTATATCTTATATCCTTGAATCGTTGCTATTCCCTCTCCCCATTACTATTGGATACCTGTTTTTAAGATCAATTCTACCCAGCCCTCAAGTTCAGTGAATTTCTCATCTCGGTTTCTGTTTGGTCTTCTCGTTTCCCTGTGACTTGTATGAAGGAGACAGTTAGGGGTCAGTTTAGGCTCAAAGAAAGCTTGGCTAGCAGCATCACATCACTCGTCAAGCACAGGGCAGAGAGGATAGCAGGCCAGGATGACAGCAGGTCATCTGTGTCTTTCCTCATGCCTTGGGGTCAGGAGTCAGGGCTGGAGGAGTCAATGTCATTGTGCTTTAAGACAAACCCGAGCTAGAATAGATCCAATGTGAACATATGGTGCCCGCACAGTTAACCCTGTGCTCTCTGCCGTAGTATATATTCCAGGCCTGGTTGTAAATGAAGCTTGAATATGTCTTGTAGCTTTCGGCCTACTCATAAGCCACCAAAACGGACAAGGGCATTTAAAATATTCCCTTTTAGGGCTTGTATATGTGAATGCTAAAAAAGCACCCAGCGCTTTTTGGCACCATATGTAAATGGTGGATTGAGCCATATGACTATACAGATGGACACTTACCAAGGCATTTTCTTCATGCCACATTAAAATAAATTCACTGTTCATTATGCTGGTTAAAATTGTCCAGGTTTTTAACAGGTTTACTTAATTGACACCCATAGTACTCCTGGGAGCTTGGGACCATTTGATTTAGGCTGCCTAGGCATGAAGGAAGTTGAAGGTAAAGGAAGAGGATGATCGGCAGTAGGATTGCTAGATACAGTCACAGTACATATGAACATACCATTGTGAAGGCTTAGACAGGCAAAAGACAGATCGTTTGTACAGGAACACTATCCATGTGGTTCCAAGACGTTGACATCGATTTGACGGCACTTAATAATGATAGACATGGGAGAACTTGGGATACAACAATTTATTTTATTTGTGGCAAGAAAAAGGGTACTTTATACATAAGAAATAAATTATGCCATTGGGTAATGCTTGTAAGTACCTTATTGATTGATTATTGATGTGAAGTGTGAATTTTAATAAAAAGTAGCTTAATTTCTGATCTCCTGATATGTTCATATATTTATCCATGACTGGTATTAAAGTTGTTGGAATGATGATCATTTTAATATCCATATTTGCAACTCATTCAGCACCTTCTTCCACCAAAGCTAATAATGTTTTACAAACAAGGAGTCGATTGCCGTTTCCTCACATGTTGCCAAATCTGTTTTCTTCTATCTGTTTGGCTTTGCCTCATGGCCCTGAACATGCTGTGTTTCTTTCAGGCAAACATAATACATGTGGATGCTGCTGAGCCAGTTAGACAGCCCAATCAGAATGAACTACCATCCAGAGAGGCTCAGCTACTCACACTGGAAAAAACAAAGGAGTTTGATGTTCTTGTGATTGGAGGAGGAGCCACAGGCTGCGGCTGTGCCTTGGACGCTGTTACTAGAGGTATGGAGTTTGTAGTATTGTAATGGTATCCTTTTTATAGCATTGTTCCATGTACACATAGGCACAGACATCTTAAATTGTTAGCTTTAAAGAGCATTCAGTTCTACAGACCTTTCCTGAGTTAAAAGAATTTGGTAAGCGTGGGCAGAGCTCAGACCAATAGTATCCTTGAAGTCACTAAATGCTGCCCAGTTTAGGTAAATGTCATCTGAGACCTTCCAAATGTCTGTTAAAATGAGTACTCAGCTTAAAGAGACCCAATTGACAGACGGTTCATTTTTTTTTAAACAAGTATCTTCCCATAGGATTATATGTGCAATTAAGGTAATTTACACATGTTATTTACCTGTCAAATCCTCCCTTGTGTAGACATCTAAAAGCCCTAAGACCGAGGATGGCCACCACCATCTAGGATGTGATGTCGGCAGACTCTTGAGCTGTTATTCAAGTGACGTCCTATAGTATTACCTTTTGCTCCTCCCCTGGAAGCTACATAAAGTTTTATGTATGGTTGTGAGGGGAGGAACAGGGTAGCAGGGCCAGTATAGACAATAATTAGACATAGGAGGGGAGGGGGAGTCTGTGCGAGGGAATTGACTCTTCCTGAGTAGTCAAATTCTCTAGCAAGTTCAACGGCAGATTAAAAGTTGGTGACGGGGTAACTACAAAAAAATATTTTAAGTTTCAGCGAAGGATATTGGGAGCAATGGTTCCATACAATTCTACATACTTTCGCAGTACTAACATAAAGTTCTTCCATCAGTTTCCTTCCCTCGCTGCACACACTGTTGTCTGGAGCAGTTTGTGCAACAAGGAAGGGTTATACCAGAGGAGCCTAACAGCATTGGCTCTTCATTTTAATACAAAGCTTAATATGCATTTACCCACAGTCTGCTCCCAGCACATTGGCAGTCTTGTCATGTACTGTAGAATATATATCATAAAAAAATAACAATGTTGTCAGCAATTGTAATAGCTGCACTGGTATATTCAGTGTTATTAGCTGTACATGTACAATCATTTGAATGCAGTGACTCTGAATTGATCAGTTAAAGTCCGATTGCGTGTTGTCAGCATATCATGGTGTACGGGCTGGCCTAATATTTAAAAAAAAAAAAATCATCTATTGAATCTATTGAAGTTTGTTTGAACTGCATTATGGACGTGGCGCGTCTGTCAAATATCAGTCCAGGGTAAATCCAGCAATCATTGTGCCTGTGAACTAGAAATTGCACTTAAATTACTTTTCATGCATATAACTGGCATGGAGATGGGTTTTTGTTTTTCATTTATGAAAGCAAGGTTTCACTCTTACATCCCAAATACGATATAAGCTTGTTGGACATCCCATTCTAAAACTATGGGCATTAATATGTTGCCCCTACTTCCCCACCTCCTTGCAGCTATAACAGCCTCCACCTTTCTGGTAAGGCTTACCACAAGACTTTAGAGTGTGTAAGCTGAGAAGACCTGGCTTGCAATCTGCCTTCAGTTTAAAGGAGAACTATGGGGTCAGTGTTTTTCCCCATAGTTCTCCGTAGGGTAACAGGAGGACACAAACTAGCGTCCTCCCGTTACCCTAAGCTCAGTATACCGCGAGCTACAGCTTGCGGTATACTGAGACGCCACAGCCGGAGCGGATCCCGACGTAGATGACGAGATCCGCCCAGCTGCATGAGTGACAGCTGGCTCTGCCTATCTAGAGGCAGAGCCAGCTGTACCCACCCCCTCCCCGTCCGTTCCGCCAGTCAGCGCTGGCAGATCGGAGCGGGGAGAGGGGAATCCAGCCCCTCCCCCTGTCACGGCAGAGAGCCGTGACAGGATCGAGAGGCGAGCGAACCCGGTATGTGTTCGCTCACCTCCCGATCTACTAAGCAGACCTGCGACAGTCTCATTGTCACAGGTCGGCTAGAACTATGAGGTGAGTGAAAAGCACTAACCTCATAGTTCTCCTTTAATCTCAAAAGTCTTCATTAGGGTTGAAATCAGGACTCTGTGCAGGCCACTCCAGTTCCTCCACACCAAACTGATAAAACTGTATCTTTATAGACCTGGCTTTGTGTATAGGGATACAGTGATGCTGAAAAAGAAAAAGGCCTTCCGTTAACTGTTGCCACAATTGTCTAAAATGTCTTTGTATGCTGTATCATTAACAGTAACCTTCACTCAAAACACTTGACCTTAATCTGGAGCTCAGTCCATATATTTGGCCATATAGTGTAAGTGTGATGGTCAGACGTTTGGCCATGTAATGTAGTTGTCTGTTGGTAAATGTCTCTCTGCTGCTGTCTCCATGCTTTGTGAACACCTTACACCAAAAGTTACATCCTGTCTGCAGTCTGCCTAGTTTATTGTTAGAGAACGGGTACTAATGTAATGCAGTAAAATGGTTCTGCTGTGGAAGGTGCTCCGTGTCTTGCGCACATTTCAATAAACACTTTCGGAATTGTTTCAGGACTTAAAACCGCTCTTGTGGAAAGAGATGATTTCTCCTCTGGGACCAGCAGTAGAAGCACAAAACTCATCCATGGTGGTGTTCGGTATCTGCAGAAAGCTATCATGCAGTTGGATGTTGAACAGGTGACCATTTTATATGGATTTTTACAGTTATAGTATTTTTGACAGTTTTATATAAGCAATGATCTGCTGGGGTCCCAGAGGCTCTATGCAACTGGCCTAGAGGGCTCTTGGTAAACATATTTATGCTAGCAACGGCATGTAACAAATAATCAATTGAAATTTTGTTGGATTATAAAGTCTAACTGCAGCTCCCCCCCCAGCCCCCCAAGCCAAAGTGGATCAAACACGAGGGGATGTATTTATAAAAATATTTGCAGAGTAATTTCTTCTGTGAAACTGTTCATTCTGTGCAAATGGAGACAAAAACTAATATTATTAGCATGTTTTTTATCCATGTTGAATGTTATATCAGGAAAATACCACATTATGGCCACTAGATGGAGCTGAGGAGCATAGGAAATAAATACGTATATCCTAAGCTCCTCAGTGCCATCTAGTGACCATAATGTGGTATTTTCCTGCTATTGTATTCGCCTTGGAAAGAAAATAATACTAATAACGTTCATTTTTGCCTCCATTCCCACAGAACAAACATATGCTGAGTTTTACAGGACAAATAGCTCTGCAGCTAAGGACCACTGTTCATTGTGTCTGAACAGTGGTCTCCGGGCTGACAACTCTGCATGGGAATGCTGGAAGAAACAAGACCTAGGAAATGTGCATGTGTTGCAGGGATGTACTGAATGCTTTTTTTTTTTGCCCACACATGCACTATAACTATAGTTTATTCCAAGACATGTAAGGAGTTGATCATTATCTTGCTGTTGGCATTACATAATGTTTTTGTGTATAGTGTATAGTATTACAGTATACTATATAATATGAACAAGCGTTACTGTGCACGTAATAATCTACACACCTTAACTCCTACGCAGTGGCTTTAGGTGATCCTTGACCAGGGTTAGGCTATAATCCGCCTTGTAGTCATTATCTAATTTATGCTTTTATGACATGTGTGCAGCGATACCGAAAAATCTCCTCTCTGGATTTTACAACAGTTCATAGCTATTTATTTTTCCCAATCTGTTCATTGTAGGAGAGTACAGCGGTTGGCGGCTGAGTTATAAAGAACGTTGGCAGGCCATGTCATGACCAAGTAAAGGGGTCATTGAGTTTGTTGTAAACAAACATGGTCAATAGATTTCAAGTGACACATCCCTGGCCACTTCCTTCTTTATAACCTCTGCAGCCGTGACAGGATCGAGAGGCGAGCGAACCCGGTATGTGTTCGCTCACCTCCCGATCTACTAAGCAGACCTGCGACAGTCTCATTGTCACAGGTCGGCTAGAACTATGAGGTGAGTGAAAAGCACTCACCTCATAGTTCTCCTTTAATCTCAAAAGTCTTCATTAGGGTTGAAATCAGGACTCTGTGCAGGCCACTCCAGTTCCTCCACACCAAACTGATAAAACTGTATCTTTATAGACCTGGCTTTGTGTATAGGGATACAGTGATGCTGAAAAAGAAAAAGGCCTTCCGTTAACTGTTGCCACAATTGTCTAAAATGTCTTTGTATGCTGTATCATTAACAGTAACCTTCACTCAAAACACTTGACCTTAATCTGGAGCTCAGTCCATATATTTGGCCATATAGTGTAAGTGTGATGGTCAGACGTTTGGCCATGTAATGTAGTTGTCTGTTGGTAAATGTCTCTCTGCTGCTGTCTCCATGCTTTGTGAACACCTTACACCAAAAGTTACATCCTGTCTGCAGTCTGCCTAGTTTATTGTTAGAGAACGGGTACTAATGTAATGCAGTAAAATGGTTCTGCTGTGGAAGGTGCTCCGTGTCTTGCGCACATTTCAATAAACACTTTCGGAATTGTTTCAGGACTTAAAACCGCTCTTGTGGAAAGAGATGATTTCTCCTCTGGGACCAGCAGTAGAAGCACAAAACTCATCCATGGTGGTGTTCGGTATCTGCAGAAAGCTATCATGCAGTTGGATGTTGAACAGGTGACCATTTTATATGGATTTTTACAGTTATAGTATTTTTGACAGTTTTATATAAGCAATGATCTGCTGGGGTCCCAGAGGCTCTATGCAACTGGCCTAGAGGGCTCTTGGTAAACATATTTATGCTAGCAACGGCATGTAACAAATAATCAATTGAAATTTTGTTGGATTATAAAGTCTAACTGCAGCTCCCCCCCCAGCCCCCCAAGCCAAAGTGGATCAAACACGAGGGGATGTATTTATAAAAATATTTGCAGAGTAATTTCTTCTGTGAAACTGTTCATTCTGTGCAAATGGAGACAAAAACTAATATTATTAGCATGTTTTTTATCCATGTTGAATGTTATATCAGGAAAATACCACATTATGGCCACTAGATGGAGCTGAGGAGCATAGGAAATAAATACGTATATCCTAAGCTCCTCAGTGCCATCTAGTGACCATAATGTGGTATTTTCCTGCTATTGTATTCGCCTTGGAAAGAAAATAATACTAATAACGTTCATTTTTGCCTCCATTCCCACAGAACAAACATATGCTGAGTTTTACAGGACAAATAGCTCTGCAGCTAAGGACCACTGTTCATTGTGTCTGAACAGTGGTCTCCGGGCTGACAACTCTGCATGGGAATGCTGGAAGAAACAAGACCTAGGAAATGTGCATGTGTTGCAGGGATGTACTGAATGCTTTTTTTTTTTGCCCACACATGCACTATAACTATAGTTTATTCCAAGACATGTAAGGAGTTGATCATTATCTTGCTGTTGGCATTACATAATGTTTTTGTGTATAGTGTATAGTATTACAGTATACTATATAATATGAACAAGCGTTACTGTGCACGTAATAATCTACACACCTTAACTCCTACGCAGTGGCTTTAGGTGATCCTTGACCAGGGTTAGGCTATAATCCGCCTTGTAGTCATTATCTAATTTATGCTTTTATGACATGTGTGCAGCGATACCGAAAAATCTCCTCTCTGGATTTTACAACAGTTCATAGCTATTTATTTTTCCCAATCTGTTCATTGTAGGAGAGTACAGCGGTTGGCGGCTGAGTTATAAAGAACGTTGGCAGGCCATGTCATGACCAAGTAAAGGGGTCATTGAGTTTGTTGTAAACAAACATGGTCAATAGATTTCAAGTGACACATCCCTGGCCACTTCCTTCTTTATAACCTCTGCCTGTTAGCCTTGATGTCACGGCGCTGTATGAGCAACAAGCAGTGAGCAAGGCTCTATTGAAGTGGGCTGCACTGGCCTCATTGTATGTAGCTTACTGTGTGCCAATGAGCTTCTACCACCTTAGTCATTTCACTTGTGTTATCCTGCAATAGTGTGGCCTTGATTTCTATTGTTTTACCATTGATGAAGAATGGCCAATTTGCCTTATGACATTTTTTTAAAAGAATGCTTTCACATTTTTCCCCAAATCATACATTTTGATACACAAAACCTCGGCAAGGGGATGAGTTATTGGGCTAGGCTGTGAAATGTTTAGTAATTAATCTGTTTTATTTTTGATGATACATTAGGGGGAATTTATCAAAACCGGAGCAGAGAAAATCTGGAGCAGCTGTGCATGGCAACCAATCAGCTTCTCTCTTTCATTTTCAAATCTTAACTGAACAAACTGAAGAGAGAAGCTGATTGCCAAGCACAGCTGCTCCGGTTTTGATAAATTCCACCACTATGGTTTTGGGACCAGAATTGCTGTATATAGAAAAATGTCTGTAAGCTGTATGATCATGTGAACAGATTTTTCACATTCAAAATGGAGAACTTTATTAAACAGAACAAAATTGAACTCAATTAACCAGTTTCAAGCCACATACAGTACATCATCTATTTGGACAAGATACATGACAAGGTGTGAAAATCAGGAAGCCTTGAAGTACCTGTACCACAACCATAACACAAAGTATAAATGCAAAATGAAGGTAGCGTACTTGGTTTAACACGTTGTACCAATAGGTGATAAGAAAAGTAAGAGACCCTGAGCCACCTAAAGCATGTGACCAGATTTGTAAAGGTTGAGTGCATGCTCCTAGAGGTGCACATACCTGCATCAGCCCCCTACACCCTGTTGTCAGGGCAAAATGTGGGGCATTCTGACAGGGAAAGTTATCATCCAAAGTTGTTGCCAAGCCTTGCCTCCACACTACTATTGTTCCATCACTCTGACTGGCAGACTCGATGGCCAATCAGAATGCACAAAAGGCAGGATAAGGTAATAAAGGGACCTGAGGTTCAGCTGTGACAGAAACTTTTGGAAGCTGATATAGGTATGCACACTCCGGAGTTTGATTTCAGCAGCAGTTTGTGCCCTCCTCCCTTCCCATCGACAGAATACCTTTTAAGATCTTTGAAATTGGTCAGAATAAAAACATTTTTGTCAAATATTTCTAGACAGTCTTTTAGTCAAAAACAATTTCACACACCAAAACATCCAATGGGTCGAATTTATTGAGGCATGGGTATTCCTATTGCGTTAAAAAATATTTGCTTGTTGATCAAAACACACCATTGCATGTACTGTATGGCCAGCATTGAGGAAGGTAGATGGGAATTTGGATTTTTAAGACTAGACCAGCAACATGTTTTTCTCAGAACAATGATTTCCATGTTACAAGATTAAGATGGACACCCAACCTAGCTGATGTTCCAGCTCCAACTTTCCCCATACTTTTAAAGGTGTTCTCACAAATCCTAGCTAATGTAAATCTTGCTTTGTTTACACTTAGCATGTCTGCATTATTCAGTGTTAAAGTGACATTAAACCCTCAGATTTTTTAACATAAACCAATACTGTAATGTGCGCCTTACTGTAATCCATGGTTGTTTCCCTTCTCTTTGCTGCTCTTCCTTTTAAATCCTCATGTCTTCTCATGCTTGGGGAGAACTTCCCTTTTCAGCTTAGGGCCTCTTCCTGTAGTGCTGGCTCAGGTTTCAAGCCTATACAAGTCTATACACAGACACCATGTATCCATTCCAGAGACAAGGCAGTCTGCTGCAAAACAGAAGTTCTGCCCAGCATGAGA